GATGATCCTGGCTCTTGGGTGAATCTTGGGCACTGGATGCATGGGCTTGTGCTCAGCTGTACAAGTTTGGGGTGGTCTCTAGATCATTTTCTGGAGCATCAAGAGCCTGGGATGAACAAGGAGGGTTCCTGAGTCAGGAGATGTAGGGTGTGGTTCCCTGGGGAGCAAGAAGCTTGACATCCATTATCTCCAGGTGGTGGAGCTGGGGACAGCTCTTATTTTCTTCTTTGTGTTTTTCTGTTTTTGGCAGATAATTTTTTTTGCAGAGCACACTTATTTCTAGTATAACCAGAGAAACAGTTCTGAATTCCTACAGGATTTTGCTTCCTACACTTTTGTGTAGTCTGAATATTTTGCAAGGAGGTTGCATTTCTCATATACTCAAAAACAAAAGTCTGGTCGCAGGAAGAATGGTACCTGAGGCCTTGTTCTAACCCTGGGATACCACAAGAGACTCCTGGTGCACTGTTTCTAGTAACCAGGACAAAGGAACAGGGGCACGTTGGGGCTGTGCAAGTGAGTGCACCCTGTTTTGCTGGTCACATCTTCTCAGATCTGTCTCCTGGTTGGACATGTAGACCTATGACCTATCTCCATCCTTCTGCACAGGCAGTCTGGGATCTCCAGGTATTTCATTGAGAAAATGCAGACACTTCAGGCTGCCGCAGTGCTTGGGAATTAATCTTTAAAGCCTGACTGTGAGCATTAAATTCAATTAGGGAGAGCGACTGGCAGAGATTATTCTCTCCCTTTCCCTAGCAGTTTGGAGAGGTAGCTGACTGGTCCGAGCTGATTCCGGTGTTCTTGTCGGTACCAGCTAGGAGAACCAGCAGGTGCTGTTCACCTGTGGGCGTCATCACCCAGTGTCCAGCTTGAGCCCAGTAAGGGTGCTTCAGGAAGCCCTGGCATGAGTTCCAGGGTGCCGGGCTGCGCTTTGGCCTTGTGTTTTCTATTCCATATGTCTTTCATGACAGCCCCCATCCTTGCCCCGTCCTCTGCTCCTCCTGTTCCCGCTCTTCCTTCCTCTCTTCTCCTCTGGCTCCTCCTCTGCATCATCTTCTTCTCCTCCTTCCTTCCCATACCCCTTCCCGTTTCTTCTCTGTGTCCTCCTCTTTCCTCTATTGCTTCCTTTTCTTCTCCTACCCTCCCTCCTCACTATCTTAACATCTGTATTTTAAATTAGGACATGCTTATAAGAATATATTATACTCAGAAGCATAGAAAGTAACCAAACAGACACTTGTGAATGCAGTTGAGAACATGAAATCCAGAGGTCTGTCCCTAGCTTTGATGGACCACCAGCTGTTTGACACTTTGGGGAATCTCTTCTCAAGATGCCCCCTTCTTATGGCTTCCCGGGAGCCCTCTCTCTTTTTCTCTCAACTCACTGGCTTCTTCTACCCAGACTCCTTTTCTCGATGTCCTTCTTCTCAACTCCCATCCTGTGAACTCTGGGGCCCTAGGTTGAGGTCAGGGCCTCCTTTCTGCTCTGTCTGCATGTATTCCCTGGAGAGCACAGCCAGCTCATGACGGTGACTTGCATAGCTCTGTGTCCATCCTAGACCTCTCTTCTGATTACCTTATCATGTGTTTCACTGTCTGCCTCTGGGTTGAGAGTGGAGCTGCTGGCCATCTTTACCCTAGCTTGCTCTTCCTATAGGCTCACCCACTCCGTGACTCCTTTCCTCTTGATGCTCAGGCCCCAACTTAGGAGTTGTCCTAGATTCTTTTCTATACTTCACATTCCACCTTCAGTCCAAGGGTTTCCTCTTTTCCGCCTTCTAAGGTGGGCTGCTTCTCCACTCCTCATGTCCACGTCCTTCTCCTATCTTCCCTGGATTCTTGCAGGAGCCTCCTGTGGTCCCCTGCTTCTCACTCCCCTCCCTGCATGGCAGCCAGAGGGTCCTGTTAGAGTGATGCCAGCCCACTCCCCATCTTCTACCTGTGCACCCTGAATGCTCTGGCTCCTTGTGATTTTCTGCCCTCATCTCTTGCTGTCCCCATCCTGTTCACTCTCTAGATACACTGACCTTGCTGTTGCTTAGTCATTTTAGACACACTAATTGTCCCTACCCAGCAATTTCTGCACAGCACTCTTTCTCACCCCTCATGTCCTCTCAGAGGGGTGCACCTGGCCATCATGGTGGCCATTTCAGCCTCTTTCCCGACCTTAACAACTCCTTTCCTGCTTATTTTTGAAAATTTCAGTCTTTGTCACTGCCCCCAGTAGAAATCTCTAGATTCTGCTTATTTGTTTTGTGTCTCTCCCCCTCCCTAGAATATGAACTCTTTGGGGACAGGGATTTCAGACCTGTTGGTTTCTCATTTCTCTGGTGCCTGGCAAATAGCAGGTGCTCAGGAAGCATTTGAACCAGTGAACAGGCCAAAGAGCTTTGCAGAAGGAAGCATTTGGGCATCTTGGCTTTGGATCACTCTCCCTCTCTCTTTCCTCTTGCTCTCCTACTCTGAGCAGTATTCACAAAACTCCTTTCCTCCAACCTGCCCTCTCCCTCCAGCCCCAGAAGCAACAACATTCCCATATATGTTTTATAGTCTTCCTACAAATGCATGAGTAAGTGAGATAGGGTTTTGTTTTGTTGTATCTATTCTTAAAAGTTGTGGTGAAATGCAACAAAAAATTCACCATCATGCAGTTCAGAGGCATGAAGTACATCCATATTGGTGTGTGACCACCACCACCATCTTGTAAAACTGAAACTGTTTCCTGACCCCCAGCTGCAGCAACCTTTCTACTTCCTGGCTCTGATTTTGACCACTCAGGGTGCCTTCTGTAAGTGGAGTCTCTTTTTTATCTTGCTTCTTCCCCTCAGTGCACTGTTTTCCAGGTTCATCCATGTTATAATGTCAGGAGGCATCAGGAGGTCCTTATTTTTTAAGGATGAGTGCTATTCTGCTGTGTGGATGGGCCACATTTGTTTATCTGTTCAGCAGTCCATGGACAATGGGGATTGCTTGTACCTTTTGACTATTGTAAGTAATGCCACTGTGACATTGGGGTGCAATATCTCCCTGAGACCCTGGTTTCAGTTTTTTTGGATATAGACTACAAGTGGAATTGCTAGATTCTATGTTTAATTCGTTTTGGTTTTGTAGTACCAAAAATTGAACCTAGGGTGCTCTACCACTGAGCTACATCCCCAGTCCTTTTTATACTTTTTTTTTTTGAGAGAGTGTCTCTCCCCAGTTTGCCCAGGCTGCCCTTGAACAATCCTCCAACCTCAGCCTCCCGAGTAATTGGGATCATAGGGTGTGCCACCATGTTTTGCTGTGTTGAGCTTTTTTTAAAAAATATTTAGTTTTTAGTTTTAAGTGGACACAATATCTTTATTTTATATTTATGTGGTGCCGAGGATTGAACCTAGTGCCTCATGTGTGCTCGGTGAGTGGTCTACCACTGAGCCCCAACCCCCAGCCCCTGTGTTGAACTTTTTGAGGAACTGTTTTTCATATCAGCAACACTATTCACATTTCTGCCCGCATGTGCGTGGATTTGATTCTGCATCCTTGCCTACACTCACCATTTTCTGTTCTTTTGTTAGCAGCCATCTTAATGGTTATGAGGTGAAATTTTGTGTGTTACTAAACATATTTTTAGTAGCATACGAAATACTAGCATCCTACTCTGTTATATGTATATCTTGTTTTAGGTCCTCAGCATTAATTTTTACCTCAACTGTGTTGACCCTGTAGATTTGCTTCATTCATGTTACTTTATTTTTTCTGTGCATACTGTACTTGTATGCAGTTTTGGAGGAGTGGCACTTCCAGCACCCTGCTTCCCTTGCTTGGGTTCTCCCGACACTCTGAAGTCCTGACAGCTGCTTTTGTTGCTTCTGTCCACATCTCTAAATGGGAATGCTGCTGTCTCTCAGTTTCCCAGCTTGTAGCCCTAGCCACTGACCTGACAGGAAAGCAGGACGGAGCTCTCAACATTCTTTGAAGGTTGCTTCTGACCTTAGATATTTACATATTCCAGAACTCGACCCTTTGCTCTGTGAAGATCTTCAGGACTTGGCAGGTTGACGGGAGGCTACCCGTAGGGTCGTGTTCATGGCGGTTGCACTTCAAGTGGGTTTCTGTCTCATTAAGGAAAGTGAGGCTTGGTTTTCCTGATGTGGTTGACAGGAGCGTGGAGAATCCTGCAAGCTCCAAGCGGTGCATCCAGCAACTGCAGGGTCCTGCTGTGCGCAGCATCCTGCCACACACCGTGCAGGGTCGCGCCTTAGCCCTTGCCCCTACCTTGGGCCATGTTTGTCTCTTCTCCCTTCCTGGAGTGGAGACAGGTCCAGAGAGGTAGTGCCACTGGGCCAACTCACAGGATGGGCCAGGAATACTGTGTACTAGGAGAGCGTCCCCTTCATCCTGTAGCCACAGGGTTGCCACTGCCTTTTCCTTGGGCTATGTGGAGGGTGATGGGATCTGAAGCCAGCAGCTCTCAGAATGTGCTCTTCTGTACTCAGGCCCTGCGTCACTTTCAGAAGGCGTTCAGCATATGTGAGGTCTCATTCCCCTGGGGAAGCCAGGGTGGGTGTTTGCTGTTTGTTCTGGGCGTGGCAGGCTCCTTTTTGGGTCACAGTCTTAAAGCAGTGCCCATGTGTCTAGCCTGGCCATGAAGAGTAAGGATTCCAGGGATACAGGTGAGGCTGCGGCAGGGCCAAGTGCAGACAGCAGCACTCTATGGTGCCTGCAGGCAGGAGCAGGCTAGAAGGGCTTAGGTAGGTGAGTGGAGACACAGGATGGGCAAGGAGGTGCCCCATTCTGCCTGTGTACTTTAGAAAACCCAGGGGGTCATCCTGTGTTCTTCATCCCAGAAAAGTCTTCACATTTCTGCAAGGACATGTTTTAGCATCTCCATATCATTTTGATGGTGAAACAGCGGGAGTCAGTCTAGAGCGAGCCCCTGCCCCATGCAGACAGTCTGAGCCCAGTCCAGGAGACTGGCCATCCTCCAATGTTGGGTACTGATTGTTTCTTTGTAGGTGTGGAACGCTGTGGACTCGGGGCGCTGCTTGCAGACCTACTCCCTGCACCGTGAGGCTGTGCGGGCTGCCCGGTGGTCTCCCTGCGGTGGGCGCATCCTCAGTGGCGGCTTCGACTTTGCCCTGCACCTCACAGACCTGGAAACAGGTGGGTTCCTTGGTATCATTACTCCAAGGCGAGCTGGCAGCTCTCTCACTGGGGAGGGTTCTCTGGAGGGTCCCTGGCCACGGGCTCTGTGGGGTGTTAGGGGAGTAGGAGGGGCTCCCAACTCTCTGCAGAAGGTTCAAGGCTGTCTCAGCCTCAAGCTGTGGAGTGGATATCGAGGCAGCTTTTTATCAACTCTGACATGTGGTTTATAGTGAAGCAGGTTTAACTTGATCGTGGTGTTCTTTGATTGGGGCCAGTGTATAGGACTGCTGTCAGTCCATTACCATTGAAGGCTGTAAGAATGACTTCATCTCCCAAGGAAGGGTAGGTTCTGCTTTAGTGCCCACACTAGAAGAGCATTGGCAAGATGGATTCGTGCTGGGTATGAGTGTGAATCTGAGCAGGCTTGGAGGAGGAGTCAGTGGAAGGAGCTTTCCTGTCCCTGGCTCTGTGTCCAGGCACTGTGATACCTGCTATGGCCCCAGTTCCCGAGGCTTTCTGCTGGGTGGTGGTAGGAACAGACCAGGGCTGACACAGCTGGTGGGCAGGCCAATGCTGCCCTTGTCCCGGGCCTAGCTTCTTTCCACACCCATGTGGCCATCTACTCTTAGGCTTCTCCTTCCTCGGTCACTTTTCTGCTAGGCACCACAGCCAGGGGCAAGAGGAGGGACTAGAGTCCCTGGAGCCCTGAGACCAGCATCCTACCTGCCTGGTGTAGGTGCCCCAGGGCTGGTGACCTTATCCTGGGGTCCAGCCCAGCAGGTCTGAGAGGATGCAGAGAGGAAACACACAGGAGGCCAAGGTCACTGTGGACTTGGAACCCACCTCACATGTCCTCTTGTAGGCCACCCAGGTGGTCTTATGGCTCCTTTTGGCCCCATGCACGCTCAGGGGTGGGATGATGAGACTGCCAGTCAGGGGCCCTTCTTGGTCAAGGGGTGTATCTCCAGCTCTGTGGGAGGCTGGTGGAATTCTCTCTGCAGCAGCTGGCAGTGGTTATTTCCATTTCATAGGTGAGGAGACCGAGGCCCAGAGCACAAGGTGGCCTGTGCAAGGCCTCTCAGTGGTGAGAGACTGGCAGGGTTGGAGCTGAGTATGTACTGTAGACTGGTACCCTTCCCTTAGTGCCCAGTGGACAGAGCCTCTCCCTCATGGGGAAGCTCTCTGACAGCTTGTGTCTCTCTTCTTCTCAAGCCCACGGGTGCCAAGGCTTGGGGAGTTTGCTGCCACTTGATAATGATGATTGGGCTGATGATGATGCAGCAGTCTGTTCTGACCAGGTACCCGCTGTGTGCCAGGTGTCTCTCCTCAGCCATCTATATCAGTGTCCTGTGGGCCCTGTCACCCTTAGAGGCAGGGACCATCAGAGTTGTGAAAAGGCGGCCTCTTCACATGCTGGTCTGGGGCCACGAGCTAGGCAGTGGCACAACCAGGATGTGCCCAGGTCTGCCAGGCCACCAAGCCAGCTGTCTGCCTGCTTCCCTGGTGCCCATGTGCCTCATCGCCATGCTGTGTGTGCGACAGAGCTGAACACAGCCCAGGGCTCACCTGGAGAAGGCCACATCTGTTGGGGACAGAAGTGCTGGGACCACCATTTGCAGTGATGGAGTGAGATACAGGGTTTGCAGGAGCATGGAGTTTAGAAAACCCAGGGGTCCTTCCTGGAGGAAGCACAGCCCACACTGAGCCAGGAGTTAAGTGAGAAATCACGGTGGAGGAAGTGTGTTCCAGGGGAGGGAAGTGGGCTCTCAGCAGGTAGGGCCACAAGGACACAAGATGCTACATTGTGTGTGAGGGAATGGGAGAGAGGAACTGGGATCTGCAGGAGGGTACCCCTGGCCTATGGATCCCATGAGCACATATGGGTGGGTGCTGCAATGCCCAAAGAGGGACAGGTTAGCTCACCTAACTCTGGGCCATTGTTTCTCAGATGTGGGTGATGCTGATGAAATACTCAGATTCACTTGATGACATTAGCAGATTTATTGTGGCCCTGAGTTATTACCTGTTTTCTCAATCAACAGATGTTAAGCGGACACATATGCCTCTGTGTGTGTGTGTGTGTGTGTGTGTGTGTGTGTGTGTGTGTGTGTATTGGGGGATGTCTTGAATGTTTTAGACATCCAGAGGCCCTCTTGCCTGACAAGTTAGGGACTGCTGTAGGGCCACTGCTGAGTTTTGAGCAGGAGAGAGCTGGGTTTGATTTGTGCTTTGGGTGGGTATCCCTGGTCTTGTGTGTTCTACAGGCCTGCTGGAGGAGAGGGATAGTTTGTCTGGCCCAGGCCCAGCACATTCCTTCAGCTCTCTGGTGCTGAATGGATAGAGAGGAAGGCGGGGCCCTGTTCTGGGGGCCTTGCCACCCAGCCAGTGAGGTGATGTGGACCCCCCACCCACACCTCTTCTGGGAATGTGTTCACTGCCAGGCTTGTTTTCTGAAGGCCTTGCTGGTTCACTCAGCATCTATTCCCCATGTATCTGCTGTGTGCAGGAACGTGCTGGGCTGCAGCACAGGGCTTGCTGGACACCCTTGGTCTCCAGCGAGGGCATGGTGGCAGAGCTTGCACCCCAGCCTATAGAGGCCCTCCAGCTCCCAACAGACTGTGGTTTCTGTGCACCTCCTGGCTCCTGTGGGAGCTCATTGAGACGGGCCCATCCTGTGTTCTCTCTGGCTTCATCGACTGGCCCTGTGTGTGGGGATGAGCTGGAACTAAGTGGGTCCATGCTGGGCCCTCCTGGCTAGGCAGTTAAGCCCATCACAGGCTGTCTGGGTGGGGTAGACTCCCCATGTCTTCTGCCTCCTCTCAGGACACCCACCCTCTGCCTTGGTGTCCCTGAGTGCTCTCTTCAGCCAGGGCTGGACTGGGCTGGACTTGTGGCCCTTGTAGCCTCTGTCCTGCTTTGGCTTCTTGTCCTTTCTCTCTACCAAGTCTGGTCTCCTGTTTTGCTTTATCCCCTTTCCACCCTTGGTGATTTGCCTTTTTCATTTCAGTCTCATTAGCGCTCCTGCCAAGAGAAGGCAGCGCAGGGCGTCTCGGTGCAGCGCTTTGGGAATTAGTCACTCGGTGCCCATTGTCGTTAATGGGAATTTGGTGCCAAGGCCATTTATCCTGGTGTCCTCAATCAATACAGCTAAAAATCTGTGGATTCTAAAATGTCAATACCCAGCCTGAAATATGGAGGGCCAGCCACATTTTATCTCATTAATTTATAGTTCTGACGGGCTGTTGGCTTACAGAACAACCATGAATCAACACTTAATAAAATCTGCTCACAGATTAATTATTTTTGGTGTTCCTGCTTCCGTCTGTAATCTTCCTAACTAATGTCTCCAGTGTATTAGCCTGAGGTGGCCTCAGGGGACACTAGCTGACGCCACCTGAGTGTCCTCAGCCTTGTGAGTCACCTGTCCTGCATGTAAAATCAGCCTGTCTCTTCCACACCCGCCATGGCTCCTCCAGTGCTTAGCGGTCCTGGTGGTGTTTCTCGAAAGTTCTAGCCCCCATCAGTCTCCCAGCCTGATGGTGAAGCCACTGTTGCTGAGGGGCGCAGGTCTCCATGCTGCATGCTTGTTGGCCACTTAGGAGCTCTCTTTGTCTGTGTTGGACGCTCTCCTGAGGTGCACCCAGTTCCCAGATGCCGTAGAAGGAATGTGGGTGGGATGCACCTTCAGCCTTGCACCCGCCACCCTGAGTCGGGAAGGCGGGGAGTGTGCCTTTGCCTTTTTCTGCAGGAGCCTGGCTGGCAGACTGTTGGGGAAGGGTGCAGTGTGTACAGACAGCCCCTCAGAGCATGGGTTAGGGTTGGCCCTCAGCAGAGGTGCCTCTTCCCTCTGTCACTGCTCCGTGAAGACCTTGGTTCTGGGCTGGGGTTGTGGCTCAGCGGGAGAGTGCTTGCCCAGCACGTGCAAGACCTTGGGTTCGATCCTCATCACCACATAAAAATTAATTAACTAATTAAAGATATTGTATCCAACTACAACTAAAAAATAAATATTTTACAAAAATCTCATTAAAAAAAAAGACCTCGGTTCTGTGGAGTTGTCCAGGGTGTCCCAATTGTTGGGGTAGTTCCCCAAATGGGGCCACTTTAGGGTGTCAATTTCAGAATCCCCCAGCTGGCAGTCAGGGTGGGTTTCAGGGCAGACTGTGAGGAGGCCTTGGCCCATCTCTCTGATCCTCCTCCAGGTTTCTCTCTCCACAGTGGTGGTGAGGGAGCAGCTCTCCCTGGTGATGGCGGCATGCACCCTTTCTCTGGGATCTGGGGTCGGCGTGCAGGAGCCTGCAGCCTGCCCTCTCCAGAGCTCCAGGTGTTAGTGGTAGGGAAGGGCTGCCCTTCTCACTGGATACCCACTGCCTGCAGTCCCCCTGTCCCCAGCCCCTGTCCAGCTCCTCTTGCTCTGGATGTCCCTTGTTTTTTGTTGGGGGCCATGGTGTGTGTGAAAATGAGTGATCAGCTCGTGACCACTCCCTTGTTTTTTTAAGAAGCATCTTCTGGTACTGGCCTTGCTTTTTCATCATTTTGGGACTTCCTTCCAGCTAGGGACACTGTAAGAATAGAGTAGCCCGTGGTCCAACTCCTTCTTGGGCTTGGTGGTGTGAGTCTGTTCACACTCTGCCTGGTCTCCATCAAACTGAGAGGTGTGTGTGAGAGCAGCACCTGTGCTTATGTGTCATGCTTGGTCACTCTCTAGCTGCGAGGGCAGTGTTTTTATGTCCATTTCATTCTGGAGGCTTAGAGAGTTTAGTGACATTAAGGCCACATGGCCAGTGGCAACAGCTAGATCCAACTCGGGCCCATGGGATTGGCAGAGGTTTTCTGCAGAGGCACAGGAGTGGCAGGCTCTCTCCACAACTGCCCAGACAAGTAGTGTGCTCAGCCGACTATTGGGAGCTATCAGCTCAGGAGGGAGTGCCTGAGCTCATCTTGACCAAGCCTCTGATTAAGTGACAGGCTAGGGTGCTTCTCTAGCTGTCAGCAGCTGTGCTCCGGGGGAAGTGTCA